TGGGCCTATATCCGGATATAAGCCCACCTCCGTTTATAGGCCCATGGGCTAATAAACAGACCCAAACACCGTAGTACAGCATGTCAGTGCAGACTACATTACCAGTACCGGTACCTATGGTAGGCGGACAACCGCGCACAGACTTTTACTTTTTCGCGTGCCAGCTGCCTTCAAAATTTGAATATAGGCCCAGGCTGTCCCTGCGGGAATTTGCGGAAAAATCCTCAAAAACTTGCGCAAGAAACTGCGGCAGAAAACAACCAAAAATGCGGAACTTGCCAGGAACTCGCGGAATTATTGGCAGATAATTGCGGATTTGGGCCAAATCACAAAATTTGTTGCATCTTTAGAATCGCTATTAATTTTGGGTACTGTGCAAATAACCTACATGTACGTACAGAATCATGGAAAGCACTGTATACTGCGTGAAAAGTGCATAGAAAATGTAAAAAGAAGTGCAGAAAACAACAAAAAAAACGCGGGAAATCGCAGATTTTTCAGAAAATCGCGGGTTTTGGCCAAAATCGCGAAATTTGTTGCATCCGTGGAATCGCGATTTCCTGGAGGGACAGCCCAGGGCTAAAAAACGAACCATTATTACTGATTTATTTTCCCGGAAAATGCATTATTTTCATATATTAGCCCATGGGCTTACAAGTCATGTATATGCGCAGAACTACGGTAATCGCGTGAGTACGGTACTTGAACTACTACTTACTAGTATTATAGTAATCCTTCTACGCAGCTACCTGGTCTACCCTCGTTAGGGCGCGTTCAGACTGGCGTAAAAAACAAGCGGAATGTGAAAGTTGTCAAGGTGAATCGCTCACGTGACGTTCCCGCCAGCGTAAACACGGAAAAGGTTTCCCACCACTCTGCAGGCCAGTGGAATGCAGATTCCGGCGGAACGCCGAGCGCTTTTGATATCCTTGCAGCACATGTTCCGTCTTTTCGTTTTATTTCAGCCTCTACTCTTGCAGTCTGACTGCATGCTTTTGAGTTTTGAGTTTTGACTTCTAGACTGCCAACTTGTCCCATCATGCCGAAATCTTTGTTCGATTCAGCAATGGAGAGGGAGTTCATGGAGCTGTACGTGGTGATTTTTGCGGGCCGCTCTTCAGGCAAAACGTTACTGCGAACGAGAAGCATACTCTGATCGCGAAACGGATGAATGCCACGCAAGCACCAAACACTCCCGACATAGTATTCTTTCCGTCGACAAGCACAAGCAAAAGCACAATGATCCAGTATCTCAACAGACTGAATTAGTTTATTTTGATATCCAACTCAAACTGAGTCAACTCAAATTTTCAAATGTCGAAGCTTCACATGTACTGGCCATTCCAGCGGGATACACGTGCAGTGTGATTGCGATTCCCGGGATTACCCTGCAGCTTTCCGGCGGCTATTCACGCCAGTCTGAACGCGCCCTTAGTAGACGGGGGTATCAAAATAATAGCAAGAGTACATAACCCCCCCTGATGTACTCTTGATAATAGTCATAACGACATAAGGCCAAACTAAAGAAGGTGTGTGGTTCGACTAACATGGACATTTTTTTTACGGGCGGGCGGGCGGATTTTTTTTTTAAATATATTTTTTAGTACATGTAAATACACTGTATACGCGTATCGAGTAGACTCTACTACCAGCACAAGGCAGCAGTCGTACCACTCACTGCACTGCACTGCAGTTACTTTTATGTAGATCTGAGATAGAGAGAGTAGTTTTTGGAGCTCTGCGTCGTCAAGTTTTCTGTACCTCTGCGGGCGACTCTATCGCACAATGCTTTGACGGTATGGCGGACAGCATGGAGGGACCACCAGGGGGTCGTCATCTGGAAACCAAGGGCCAATGTTGCCGGTGCAACGGCAATGGCACCTGCAACAAATGCAAATGTGCTAAAGAGAATCGTAAGTGCACGAGCTGCGCGCCAGGACGGAAGTCGACCTGTAAGAACACCGTAACCGTACGAGAAGAGCCAGCCGTTAGTCCCGTACCCAAGCCAGGGGCAGCCCCACCTGAGCAACTCGGATTTGCGTCGCCCAACCGAAGATCAACAACCAACACAACCACCGCTCAGAGAACGCCTGTGTCCGGTGCAACCACAGCGGATGACATAGCCTCCGCCGCACTCGCCGCTGCTATGTCGAAAGTTTCAAGCTCTCAACAGCTAGCATGGAACTTACTGGAATCCGCGGAGTCTGCGGAGTCAAGCACCAGTTCAGAAGTGTCAACTGGCAAGCAGGCTGACGGTGTCAGACCTACACAGCGGGACACGACAATGAGGCCGGCTACCACAGCTGAGACCCCAGAGTCACTCACTGCTGCTCTGCTTGCGGAGTGCCGACAAGAGGCTGCCTCCGAAAATTCGAATGATTGTACAGTAGCAAACAGAGACATTGGAAACATGCAAGATAGCATCCCGGATATCCCTGCTTGTACCGGTAGTACCTCACGTGCCAGTTTGCCAGCAGACTCAGGCACCCCGACCCAGCCACTCGCACAAACGCACTCATCACGTACGCCACCCACACACGTACACGTCTCTGACTCACAACAGCAAGCGTGGGACATGCTGGACCAGCACCATGAGACCCCCACAGCGGAAGAGGCTGACCTGTTGGCAAACCTGGCCTCCTCGCAGCCACAACTAAGCGGTGACATGGGCACACAGGAGCAGGAGCCGGTTGCAGATCCACAGCCACAGCATCTTCCAGACTATGCCCCTGCCAACAATCAGTTCTCGATGGGTGAGCACGACTTCCAGTCCTCTGCTCAGATCATCAACGCCGCATATGAAGAGGCCGTTCACTTTCGACCCAATCTCTTCATGCCACCATCAGGAACTGTCGGATCCACATTTATGAAGATCATTGCTGGATTGTACAGGCGTTTTGCAGAAGCGTCCGCTGGGGAGGGCATTGCAATCAAAGCCGCAATGGTCGCCACCCAGCTCCTCCTCCAAAAGCCACATCGCGCCGAAAGGAG